AAACTGTGTCGAGTGTTTCATTCTATCGGTTGGGTTGTGTACTACGAAACTGTGTCGAGTTAGCCGGTCTGGCTGCCCTTCGGGACTCTTTTCATTCTATCGGTTTGGTTATGTACTACGAAACTGTGTCGAGCTTCTCATTCTACCGGTTGGGCTGTGTACTACGAAACTGTGTCGAGCTTTTCATTCTATCGGTTGGGCTGCGTACTACGAAACTGTGTCGAGTGAGCCGGTTTGGCTGCCCTTCGGGACTCTTTTCATTCTATCGGTTGGGCTGTGTACTACGAAACTTTTTCGAGTTAGCCGGTCTGGCTGCCCTTCGTGACTCTTTTTATTCTATCGATTGGGCAGTGTACTAAGAAACTGTGTCGAGCTGGCCCGTCCGGCTGCAATTTGGGCCCTTGTCTCGTTCACTCTGTCAGGATTAAGCTGAGTGCTACAAAAAGGTGTCGAACTACCGTGTCCGGCTGCAATCTCAGTCTCTTTTGTTCCAACACATTGGGCTGTGTATCTAGGGATTGCGTCGAGCTAGCCTGTCTGTCTAAAAATCGGGATTCTTTTCATTTTGTCTAGAAGGGGTGTGTGCCACAAGAAGCTCCGGGGGCGAGTATTGCGCTGGCCTGTCCGGCAACAATTTCGTTTTTTTTTTTGTTCTGGCCGTGTATTGCAAGAAGCTCAAGGAAATTGTGCTCGACGGTCTTGGTGTGACTCTGGTCTCTTCCACGCTGTAGGGCTGGGCACCGCAAGGAGCCCCGCGTGATGGTGATTGGGCTAGCTGGCCTGCCGCAATTACGGTCTCGCCGGGATTGTGACAAGCTACTACGTCCTCGAGCATCGAGCTAATCGGTCGAGTCTCGGTGTGATCTCTTTCGGCATGTCGTGCACCGCCGCAATCAGGGAACCGAGTCGAGGGACTAGCCAGCTGACACCGTCGGATCTTCTGGTTATCGGGGTTTAAGGCTTGGGCGGAAAGCTCCTGGATTCGGTTGGTCGGGGCCGTAGGCGCCCCTAACATTAGCTCCTGGTCCGCGGTCAGCACGATCCCGCGGGGACTCCGAGAGAGGAGGCGAAGGCAATCCCTGGCCGGACCGGTGCCTCTGCGAAAGGCCACGACCCACGGCCTCGTAGGACCAGGGATTCCTGAGGAGGCACAGACCGACATCGGGAACAAATTGGGACACACAGTTGGCTTGAGACTTGCGTTGTGACTGCAGTTTTCTTTGGCGACAAATATCTTCTTTCTTGGCGTTTTTGAGTGAGCTAAGGCGCGTTCGGCAGTACTTTACTCAAGGTCAGTTAGTTGATTGACTCAGATTTCCCTTCACACCTGTGTGCACCTGTGTGAACCTTGACTTTGCTTGACCCTGTTCATTGAATGTTCATTGATAAGGTAGAGGAAAGTCGTGTGTATCATGCATGTGAATGGAAAGGTCTGACTTAGACATGGGATTGCACTGGTTTTTTTTTTAGCTTGTTGTCTCTGCGTGTTGTGCAGGTAGGTAAAAGGATGCTTGCAAAGGAAATTTATTATGCCTATCTGAGAAAATGGAGGAGTGTCATCTTTTGACTTCTCACCTGCCTACATACCAAGAAGGGTTGGTTGTTTTGAAAAATGTCAATTTTACGCGCACCGTAAACAAATTTGAATAAAATAAGCAGATAAGGTCAAACGAACGTAGTTTCCCCCCAAAGATTGACCATTTCTTTCCTGAATGACTTTTATATGTCTAAATGGTTCTCATTCTCTATCTTTCCTAACTATTTTCGTTTGAGTTACCTTGGGCAAGAAACGAAGGGGACAACTGAAAATCTACTTGTGGTGAACATATTCTCTTTCTTCAGGAAGCATCTCGGGCGAGGGTTTGTTGCTTTAGGAGCCGGCTCTGTTATCGATCCAGAGTGGACCATTCTACGGGGGGTACTTTGCCAATTCGGTGGAGACGGTACGACTTGTGAGATCCGAGTCTTGTGCTCGGGCGAGGAGGAGGAATACCCTAGACCACTTCCTAGAGGGAGAGGCATGCACCACCTCAAGCAATGCCCGTGATCAAGAATCATCCGCAAAACAACCCGTCATCCAAGAAGATTGAGAAACGTGTGGAGACGGGTGTATGCGTGTTCAATCTTAGGTTGGCGGTCGGATGGAATGAATAACTTTGGCAACGCATCTCGTCAAGTCAAAACTAAGACAAACCGACTACCTTATCGGCTGCATTTAGGTTATTGTTGAAAGCCAACTCCCCGTTGGCGGTTGTATGATTTTTGTGGAATTCGACCCAGGGTGGTCGGATTCTATTTTGATATTGTGTTATTGGATGTATCTAATGATGATTTAAATTTGTTCAGTTATCATTTCAGATTGGATATATGTTCATGTCGACTACGGTTGATTCTTTTTTATGTAACTATGTTTGGTTGTTATGTCTTTATTTTAACTGGTGACCAAAGAGACTAGGATATTGGGGGTTTCACACTTGGTTGAGACTGTCCTAGTCGACCGGCGTACGCTTCGTACTTAGGAGATCAACGCCCTAAGGAACGAACGACGTTCGAGTTCAATAGGCGTTTCAATCACACGTACCTATACTACAGGGAGCGAGCAAATGCCCTCGGCTGACCCACCTCTGCAACTACATGTAAAAGCTTTCGCACGTGGGTCAGTAACTCAGTAGGGATACACCCCTAAGGGAAGCAAGCTTATACCCCGCGGGAACCTGTCCTGTCGTAGGGGACCGCGAGATGTATAGTTGGCGCACCCGGCTAGAGCGGCGAAGGGACGATGCGACCACGACCGTCTCAGCGGTCCGCGGGATTAATTATGCATCGTCCCCGAATTGTGTCTATGGTTTGCTTTTTGTTTTAACTCATGCGTGACATAACCGAGAGGGCTCCCGCCTCTTTCGCGAGGAAAGGCGAGGGCCGATGCGCTCGACAACGGAAATCCATCGTGTGGGAGGAGAACAATCGGTTAATTTCCAGGCAATGGCTGCTCCAGAGGTAGATAGCCCACTTGAAGGCACCCTGGAATTTGATATTTGTTCGCAACCTGCCACACTCGGTTGCTCTAGGACTGATTAAGAAGGTCGTTGTAGACAGGCAGAAAAACTGGGTTTTCGGAGAGAGTGTTGCTTTTTTTATCAACGAGGTAGTTGGGATCTGTAGAGAAGTAGTGAGAGCTGTTCAGGATGTTTGCCTATCAAGGTTATTGTAGGTTTAAATCTGGGCCAAACCTTTATTTGAGTTTTCTAGCCTAATTTTGTGTTGCGGTTTGTCATTTTCCTTTTTTAGGCAGGTGGAGTCCATTTAGGCCTTGTTTTGTCTTTTAGTATTGTGTGGTTGTGTGGGCCGTGAAGGCAATTTTTTTTAATTCCTAGGGTTGGGAAATGTCAGGGCAGCGGTCAAGATGTGACCAATTCTGCTACTGGACTATAATTCCCAATGCCTGCACCATAAACTGGGTAATGGTCCCATAGGTTACCAGTTTCTGAGTTATTTGTGGCGGGATTCCCGGGCTCCTTCTTTTTTTCTCTAATGAAATGCAAAGTTGATATGTAATAAAATAAAAACAAAAATGAAATTCAATTACCTGTTGAATCTGGACAGCACGGCCCTTCAGTTCTTTTTTATTGTCATTATAGTATTACGAGGAACCTCGTAGCAGCCACATTCATGCTCAAGCCTCCAACGAGGGAACATGAGGGAGTTGTACCCACTAGCAGGTGCAATACCTGCTACAGCAGTTGGGCGATACCAGCCAAGGGTCAGCCGATAGCATCAGGACCGAGCTTCTTCGATGGGCTAGTCACTATACCTCCCCTCTGGTCCCCTCCCCCTATGAGCATCAGCAGTCACCACTCAATGCCACTCGGGGGACCCACGACATATCTCTAGGTGGCGAGGGCCAAGCTTGCCCTAGGCAGGTACGTTTGGCAAATGAGGATTGAACCCAAGACCTCCTGAATGCCACTTGCATGCCTTACCAACTTAGGCTGCCGGATGTTTCGCTTCTTTTCGCGGGTGGACTGCTTTTATAACAACACCCAACTCGGCGAGTAAACCTCGGTCAATATCTTGCCCGCAAACCTCTTTGTTTTCCTTAGATCGACCGTCAGTTGCGTCCTCGAGAGCACCGCGGACAACATCCATTGAGCTGCCCGACTTATCACCCTCGTGCGATTGGCAGGAGGGGCAATCACCAGAAGTTGCATCTGCTAGAGACAAGGTGGAACAGAGAACAGGAGGCGGAGGAAGAAATGGTGGTTGCTCTTCGACGGGAGATCCCTCGTGTACATCCTCTTCTCGCTCTCCACTACTCCTCCACGGACGGTGACTCCGTATGGACAAACGAAACGTCTATTCGCACTCCTCCAGGTTATGGTAGTTGGAGCACTCGTTGTCCTGCTCTTCGATAGTCCCCACGTCTATGGCGGTCATAGGAGCGTCATCGCCTCCCTCGCCGTTCATAGGATCTAACAATGGCGGGTGAGATTCCCCGACCTCACATGCAGGACGTGACGGAGAGATTGCCCCTACTTCTCACTCTCTTGCACACCATTAGCAGCCTGTCCAAGCCTTGATTCGTTCGCACGCACCTCTTCGTCAATCGATACTTCCTCATCAGCCTCCTCTGCTGTCGCTGGATGTTGAGCGGTTGGCGATTCCACACTGGTATATATAATTACCTCCACAAATGATTTGCCAATCACTGCAACCACTTCCGTCGATGATAGGGGCTTCAATCCTTCGCCACTCTCAGTTGAAGCCACCTCCAACGTGGTATCTGATGGAATGGCGTCGCCACCTGTCAGCGCAGCCACTTTCTCCAGGAATTGTACATCCGTTGTGTTTCGAGTTGGGGATGACAGCGACTGTGGTTCTCCCCACGATCGATCTACATCGGCGCATCGCTCCGCCTCAACGACCTCCTTTTGTGCAACCAGCTTTCCCGGGGATACCCCTTCCCTTTCCCTTTCCCCCATCGAGGGCGCAGCCCCTGCTATATCTGCATCGTCGACACAACGATGTTCCACTCTTACTTCCTCTGTTACGGCGCTATTTGTGGCCATGGCCCGCTTAAAGTTTCAAGCATGAGAACTGCCTCCCTTCCCTCACAAGAACATTGATGGCGAAAGACCGCCCGCTGAGATTCACCAAAGGGGCGGTTTGATCGTCACAACTGTCCCACTCTCCAGTCCAATCTCAACACACCATCCTGAAGTTACTGTCAGCAATACCAAGGGCGATCCAAACGGGGGCGGGAGACCGCACTTAACAGTTCCTGTTCCCCGCTACAGTGCCTCGTTTCTTCACCAAGCCGCCCCAACCATGGCCCGAAGTGGGACGACACTCCGCTTGTTGTCCCATCTCCTTCAATCGGATCTGATTAGATCGAATTCGTTTCCGTCAGTTACATCAACCAAACCTCATTTCCTTGCTTCTGCTCCCGCATGCAAGTTATCAAACAAGCACGGACGAGAGCGAGTAGGTCGGCGTTACCAAACGATCAGTCGACAAATAACTCGCACTTTGCTTATCGAAACGCTATGGATGAACGCGTGCGACCATCGGATTTGAAAGACTGATCAATCATTTCAGCAAATCCACCAAACACTTCGACGAAGGCTCGAAAGCGCCAATCTATACGTGGCTGCTACCCGCCCAAGCTTGTCATGCCCGACCTCTTCATGTCGTTCCTTGGGCGCGCTTCTGTTGCTCACCCTCTTCTCTACTGATTGACTTCAAGGAGATGGACACCAAACCCACAATTCCCTGCCATCGACCGATATATTCGTGTGAGACACACCGGTCGCACCATGCAATGGTTGTTCGAAGGTCATTCTGTCGGTTGCCCTTCGCGTGCTCGGCACCCTCCGCCTTCCCGTCCCCCCGCTCGAACAGAAAATGAAAGTCTCCTAGCGTGGCAGTTCGCAGAGCCCGTCGGACAACCATTACCGGCGGTGCACCAAGGATGTCCGTGGGGAACCAGCACAACGGGGTGCGCCTGCCGGGCTCCGTCGGACCGAGGCTTAATCGACCTGGCAGAGCTGCACACAGCGGAAAGGCACTACCAAGTGCAGCACATAGGTATGTAACGGAGGCTCCAGAGGCCAAGACGGCGGAGGGTGAGGAGATGCGGGGCGATGGTAGGGCGGCACGTGTGGGGGTACCAAGTACGACCACCTTCTGTGGCCTCCTCGCATGGGTGCCCACATCGCTCCTTTCGTGCTTTCCTTGGGCGAGTTCATATCCTGACAGAAGTACAAGGGGTCACAACGGAAAACAAAAGACTGAAGTACTTCATTCATTTCATACAGGGGAAAGGTGAAACATATGGAACTTGGGGGTGGATCCCACTCTCTGTTCTCGGGGAGGTCTTGGCGCCTTTCTTGGATTTTTGGGTGTCCCCACTGCCTTTCGGGATAGTCGGGGCCACCTAGTTTTTGGTCGCTTCTTTCTTTTTTCCCTCCTTTTTCCCATGGCCACTTCTTTTTTTTTCCCCTCCTTTTTCCCATGGCCACTTCTTTCTTTTTCCCCTTTTTTTCCCTTTTTTTCCCTCTTTTTTCCCTCTTTTTCCCCTCTTTTTCCCCTCTTTTTCCCCAATGGAGGAGGCATGGGTCGGCGGCGCTGCACAGCTCGACCCCCAGTCTGTCGACAGGCATTGCCTTGCAGTCCGTACAGTAATGTTAATGCACCATGCGTTTAGTGGTACTTACGGCCATCTCCATCGCGATCGCCATCAAGGTAACGTGATTCTTCACAAGACATGTTGACATGGATGGTCTTGCTGCCTCTATGTTGTCAGTATCGAACATGTTGACAACGAGTTGCGTCCTCGAGCGAACTGTCGACAACATCCATTGAGCTGCCCGACTTATCACCCTCGTGCGATTGGCAGGAGCGACAATCACCAGAAGGTGCATCTGCTAGAGACAAGGTGGAACAAAGAAGAGGAGGCGGAGGAAGTGATCGTGGTCGTTCTTCGATGGGAGATCCCTCGTGTACGTCCTCTTCTCGCTCAGACGGTGGCTCCGTATGGACAGACGGAACGTCCGTTCGGACTTCTCCGGGTGATGGTAGTTGGAGCACTTCGTTGACATTCTCGTTGCCTTGCTCTTCGATAGTCCCCACATCTTTGGCGGTCATGGGAGCGTTATCACCTCCCTCGCCCTTCACAAGATCTGGCAATGGCGGGTGAGATTCCCCGACCTCACATACAGGACGTGACACTTATATTGCCCCTACTTCTCGCCTCTCTTGCGCACCATTAGCCGGCTGGCCAAGCCCTGATTCGTTCGCACGCATCTCTTTGTCGATCAATACTTCCTCCTCGGCCTCCTCTGCTCCCGCTGGACGTTGAGCGGTTGGCAATCCCTCACTGGCAGATATAATTACCTCCACAAACGATTTGCCAATCACTAAAAGCACTTCCGTCGATAGTAGGGGCTTCAATCCTTCGCCGCTCTCAGTTGAAGCCACCTCCAATGTGACATTCGATGGAGTGGCGTCGTCGCCTGTCAGCGTAGCCACTTTCTCTGGGGATTGTGTGTCTGGTGAGTTAAGGATAACAGCGACTGCGGTTCTCCCAGCGCTTGATCTACATCGCTTCATCACTCTGCCTCAACGACGTTTTCTGCAACCATCACAAGAGGTTAACGGGGCACCTGGTTTTCAGGCCTGAAATTTCTGATACCCCTTCCCCTTCCCTTTCCCCATCGAGGGCGCAACCCCTGTTGTATCGGCACCGTCGACAAAGATATGTTCCACTCTTACTTCCTCTGTTACGACGCTACTCTTGGCCATGGCCCTCACAAAGTTTCGAGCTCGAGAACTACCTCCCTTCCCTCACAAGAACATTGATGGCGAAAGACCGCCCGCCGAGATTCACCAAAGGGGCGGTTTGATCGTCACAACTGTCCCCCTCTCTTGTCCAATCTCAACACGCCATTATGAAGTTGTGGACCGCCTCACAATCAAAGTGACATTATTATCGGCAATACGAAGAGCGATCCAAACGAAGGCGGAAGACCGCACATAACATCACCTGCTCCCCGCTACAGTGCCTCCGTTCTTCACCAAACCGCCCCAGCCATGGCGCGCAGTGGGACGACACTCCTCCTATTGTCCAATCTCCTCCAATCGGATCGGATTAGACCGAATCCGTATCCGTCAGTTACATCAACCAGACCTCATTTCCTGACTTCTCCTCCCGTAGGCAAGTTATCAAACAGGCACAAATGAGAGCGAGTAGACGGTCGGTGTTACCAAACGATCAGTCAACAAATAACTCACACTTTGCTTATCGAAACGCTATGGATGAACGAGTGTGAGCGTCGGATTTGAAAGATCGATCAATCAGTTAAGCAATTCCACCAAACACTTCGACGAAGGCTCGAAAGTGCCAATCTATACGTGGCTGCTACCCGCCCAAGCTCGTCACGCCCGACCTCTTCATGTCGTTCCTTGGGCGCGCTTTTGCTGCTCACCCTCTTCCCTACCGATCGACTTCAAGGAGATGGACACCAAACCCACAATTCCCTGTCGTCCACCGATATATTCGCGTGAGACATGTCGGTCGCACTATGTAGTGGTCATCCATAGGTCATTCCACAGGTTGCCCTTTGCGGGCTCGACCCCCTCCGCCTTCCCCTCCCCTCGCTCGAACAGAAAATGGAAGTCTCCCAGCGAGGCGGTTCGCACTGCCCTCCAGACAACCATTACCGACGGTGCGCCGAGGACGTTCGTGGGGAACCCGCGCAACGGGGTGCGCCTGTCGGGCTCCATCGGACCAAGGCGGAACCGAAGTGGCGGAGCTGCGCATGGCGGAAAGGCACTACCAAGCGCGATGGACAGGTATGTAACGGAGGCTCCAGAGGCCAAGAGGACGGAGGGTGAGGAGATTGGGGGCAGTGGCGGGGAGGCACGTGTGAGGGTACCAAGTACGACCACCTTCCACGACCTCCTCGCATGGGTGGCCACATCACTCCTTTTGTGCTTCCCTTGGGCGAGTTTAGATACTTACAAAAGTATAAGGGGCCACAACGGCAAACATAAGACTGCAGTACTTCGTTCATTTCATGCAGGGGAAAGGTGAAACAGATGGAACTTAGGGGTGAATCCCACTCTCTGTTCTCGACGAAGTCTTGGCGCCTTTCTTGGATTTTTGGGTGTCTCCACTGTCTTTCGAGATAGTCGGGGCCACCCTGTTTTTGGCCACTTCTTTCTTTTTTCCATTTTTTTTCCCATGGACGACTCCCTTGAGATATCATCGGATCAAGCATAACCTGAATGGAGGACGCATGGGTCGAGGGCGCTGCAGTCAGCTCACCACCCAGTCTGCGGCCAGGCATTGCCTTGCAGTCCGTCCGATAACGCTAATGCACCGTACATTAAGTGGTATTTACGACCATCTCCACCGCAATTGCCATCAAGGTAACGTGATTCTTCACAATACATGTTGACATGGATGGCTTTGGTGCCTCTTTGTTGTCAGTATCGAACATGTTGACCACGAGTTGTGTCCTCGAGAGAACCGTCGGCAGCATCCATTGAGTTGCCCGACTTATCACCCTCGTGCGATTGGCAGGAGGGGCAATCACCAAAAGTTGCATCTCCTAGACACAAGGTGGAACAGAGAAGAGGAGGCGGAGGAAGAGATGGTGATCGCTCTTTGACGGAAGATCCCTCATGTAGGTCCTCTTCTCGCTCTCCACTACTCTCATGAACACAGCACTGTCCACAGACGGTGGCTCCATATGGACAGACGAAACGTCCGTTCGCACTCCTCCGGGTGATGGTGGTTGGAGCACTTCGTCGACATTCTCGTTGCCCGGCTCTTCGATAGTCCTCCCGTCTATGGTGGTTACGGGAGCGTCATCTCCTCTCTCGCCGTTCACAGGATCTGGCTATGGCGGGTGAGATTCCCCGACCTCACATGGAGGACGTGACAGAGAGATTGCCCCTACTTCTTGCCTCTCTTGCGCACCATTAGCCTATTGGGCAAACCCTGATTCGTTCGCACGCACCTCTTCGTTGATAGATACTTCCTCGTCAACCTCCTCTGCTGCCGCTGGATGTTGAGCGGTTGGCGATTCCACGCTGGTACAGACGATTTGCCAATCACTGCAACCACTTCCGTTGATGGTAGGCCCTTCAATCCTTCACCGCTCTCAGCTAAAGCCACCTCCAACGTGATATAGATAAGTTCAAAACATTATCTTTTTAATTTAATACCAGGATTTCTTTTTTAAATAATCCCTGAAAAAATATACGCTGCATAAAATATACAAAAATTGTAATTCAAACAACATTTCGGCAGCTAAAAAAAAAAAAACGAAAAACAAGCTAAAAATATAGGGTTATAGACATTTCAAAGGTGTACAACAACATTTTTTTATTTTATTTTTTCTTCATGTATTTAAAAAAAAAACATAAAAGCAAATTAAAAAAGGAAAAGCAGACACGCACTCACACACGACATCCGATGGAATGGAGTGATTGCCTGTCAACACAGCCTTTTTCTCCGGGGATTGTGTGCCCGGTAGGTTCTGAGTTGGGGATGACAACGATTATGGTTCTCCCCTTGCTCGATCTACATCGGCGTATCGCTCCGCCTCAGCGACCTCCGAGTCGTTTTGTGCAACCATCTCCCCCAGGGATGCCCCTTCCCCTTCCCTTTCCCCCATCGAGGGCGCAACCCCTGTTGTATCGGCACTGTCCACACAATCATGTTTCACTCTTACTTCCTTGTTATGGCGCTACTCATGGCCATGGCCCACACAGAGTTTCGAGCTTGAGAACTACCTCCCTTCCCTCACAAGAACATTGATGGCGAAAGACCGCCCTCTGAAATTCACCAAAGAGGCGGTTTGATCGTCACAACTGCCCCCTTCTCCTGTCCAATCTCAACACACCATCATGAAGTTGAGAACCGCCTCACAGTCAAAGTGACGATAGTCTCGGCAATACCAAGGGCGATCCAAACGGAGGCGGCATACCACACTTAACAACACATGTTCCCCGCTACAGTGCCTCCTTTCTTCACCAAATTGCCCCAGCCATGACGCGAAGTGGGACGACACTCCGCCTGTTGTCCCATCTCCTCCAGTCGGATCACATTTCCTCGTTTCTGCTCTCGCACGCAAGTTATCAAATAGGCACGAACGAGAGCGAGTAGACGGTCGGTGTTACCAAACGATCAGTTAACAAATAACTCTCATTTGCTTATCAAAACGATATGGATGAACATGCATGAGCGTCGGATTTGAAAGATCGATCAATCAGTTCAACAAATCCACCAAACACTTCGACGAAGGCTCGAAAGCGCCAATCTATACGTGGCTGCTACCCGCCCAAGCCCGTCACACCCGACCTCTTCCCGTTGTTCCTTGGGCGTGCTTCTGCCACTCGCCCTCTTCGCTACCGATCGACTTCAGGGAGATGGACACCAAACCCACAATTCCCTGTCGTCGACCGATATATTCGTGTGAGACATGCCGGTCGCACCATGCAATGGTCATCCAAAGGTCATTGTGTCGTTTTCCCTTCACACGCTCGGCCCCCTCCGCCTTCCCGTCCCTCGGCTCGAGCAGAAAATGCATGTCTCCGAGAGAGGCGGTTCGTAGCGCCCGCTAGACAACTTCTATCGGTGGTGCGCCAAGGACGTCCGTGGGAAACCTACGTTGTGGGGTGCGCCTGCCGGACTCCATCGGACCAAGGCGGAACCGACGTGGCGGAGCTGCGCATGGTGGAAAGGCACTACCAAGCGAGGCAGACAAGTACGTAACGGAGGCTCGAGAGGCCAATATTGTAGAGGGTGAGGAGATGAGGGGCGGTGGCGGGGCGACATGTGTGGGGGTACCAAGTACGACCACGTTTTACTGCCTCCTCGCATGGGTGGCCACATCGCTCCTTTCGTGCTTTCCTTGGACGAGTTCAGATACTGGTTGAAGTACAAGGGGCTACAACGACAAACAAAAGACTGTTGTACTTCATTCATTTCATACAGGGGAAAGGTGAAACAGATGGAACTTGGGGGTGGATCCCACTCTCTGTTCTAGGGGTGGTCTTAGGGCCTCTCTTGGATTTTTGGGTGTCCCCACTGCCTTTCGGGATAGTTGGGGCCACCTTTTTTTTGGCCACTTCTTTTTTCTTTCCCTCGTTTTTCCCAAGGGCGACAACCTTGAGATATCATCGGATCAAGCATAGCCCCACTGAGGAGGCATGGGTCGATGACACTGCACTCAGCTCCACCCCCTGTCTACCGCCAGGCACTACCTTGCAGTCCGTCCGGTAACACTAATGCACAGTGCGTTTAGTGGTACTTATGGCCATCTCCACTGCGATGGTCATCAAGGTAACGTGATTCTTCACAAGACATTTTGACATGGATGACTTTGCTGCCTGTATGTTGTTAGTATCGAACATGTTGACAACGAGTTGCTTCCTCGAGAGAACCGTCGACATCATCCATTGAGTATCCGACTTATCACCCTCGTGGGATTGGCAAGAGGGGCAATCACCAGAAGTTGCATCTGCTTGAGACAAATTGAAACAGAGAAGAGGAAGCTGAGGAAGAGATAGTGGTCACTCTTCGACGGGAGATCCCTCATGTACGTCCTCGTCTCTCTCTCCACAACTCGTGAACACAGCGCTGTCCACGGATGGTGGCTCCATATGGACATACGAAACGTCCGTTCGCACCCTCCAGGTGATGGTAGTTGGAGCACTTCGTCAACATTCTCGTTGGCCTATTCTTCGATAGTCCCCACACCTATGGCGGTCATGGGAGTGTCTTCGCCTCCCTCGCCGCTCACAGGATCTAGCCATGGCGGGTGGGATTCCCCAACCTCACATGGAGGACGTGACGGATAAATTGCCCCTACTTCTCGCCTCTCTTGCGCACCATTAGCCGGTTGGCCAAACCCTGATTCGTTCGCATGATCCTCTTCGTCGATCGATACTTCCTCGTCAGCCTTCTATGTTGCCGTTGGATGTTGAGTGGTTCACAATTCCACGTTGGTAGATATAATTACCTCCACCGACGATTTGCCAATCACTTCAACCACTTTCGTCGATGGTAGGGTCTTTAATCCTTCGCCGCTCTCAGTTGAAGCCACCTCCAACGTGGGATCCGATGGAATGGTGTCGCCGCCTATCAGCACAACCAGTTTCTCTGGGGATTGTGCGCCCGGTGTGTTCCGAGTTGGGAATAACAGCGACTGCGGTTTTTCCTGCTCTCGATCTACATCGGCGCATCGCTCCGCTTCAACGACCTCGTTTTGTGCAACCAGCTCCCCTGAGGATAACCCTTCCCCTTCCCTTTCCCCCATCTAGGCCGCAGCCCCTACTGTGTCGGCACTGTCGACACAACCATGGTTCACTCTTAGTTCCTTTGTTACAGCGCTACTCTTGGCCATGGCCCACATAAAGTTTCGAGCTTGAGAACTACCTCCCTTCCCTCACAAGAACATTAATGGTGAAAGACCGCCCGCTGAGATTCACTGAAGGGGTGGTTTGATAGTCACAATTGTCCCCCT